AGCATTTATACAACCCAATCTTCCTGCTGTCACAAATGTTGGGAAAGGTACAGGGGTGAGGAGTTACTCGCTGTGCAACAGGGTTAGAGTTTACACAGAATTTCTTGATATTGCATTCCCTAATCGCATAACGGTGCTGCCCGTTAGTGATGACAAGTGGGTGGCTTTCAGGTTGGAGTTCCCAAATGAAGAAAGCAATTAAGTTGAGTTGCTGGTTTTACCAGAATATTGTTTTTGATAAGACCTAGTTTTACCATGATATCCAACTAGACTTTCAGTTATGTTTAACCTAAACTTATGATGGATGCTAGTTTTACCATGTGTCTGCTTCTCATGCTGGATGCTGATCCCATTTGCACCAGTCTTATGAACTTTTAAGTTATGATTGAAACAATTTAGCATAAAATTTCTTTTGGGAAAATTATCAAACATGAAACAACATTTAGAACATAACAAAAGTTGTTTTTTTTAAGGTTTTCTTCAATGGAATGACTTCGTTTTAAGGTTTTGGTTTCTTTATTTTAAGTTAAACGCAGTTTTGACTCCCCAACTATAACCTGGACCTATATATATATATATATTATATACTATAACATTAATATTATAATGTTAAGAATGAAATCAGACTCCAGGATGAATTGCTATTTTTGCATATTCTCAGAGAGGAAAATATTGTGTCTTTGCGAGCATTGGGTTCCTACTTAAAGGAAAAACTTAGTACGTGGCTTAGCCCTGCTGCATTAGAGCTTCACCAGATCACATGGGATGATCCAGCCTCTTTGCTGGAAAAAAATTGTGGATTATGAGGTACTGATACAAAATTCGCTTTGTTTATCGAGATCTTGGCCACCATCTGCATATACCCGCATGTCGCCCGCCTAGACCGCCTAGAGGCTACATCCGCTTTGTTTTACTCCATATCATCAACTCTGGTGTGCATATTGTTACATTAATTATTATTTCTAGAATTTAAATAACCTTCAACTCTTTGTTTCCTTTTTGAAAGGGAATATTGACCTCTTATCTTCGGTTTTTTGCTTCCATTGCTTGAACTGAATACTGAAAAAATTCCACAGCCTGGCTTACAAGGGATCAACCTGGGAAGGTTTCTAATCAAACGTGTGATCACACTTGTGAAAAGAGAAATGACAAATATTTCTGTCTAAGTCTTGCTCATAGATTTTCTCACTGACACATGGCCTTTTCTTCCCTTTAAAATCAGACATTTGCGAGTCTCAGCCCCGTCCCAGGGCACATGCAGTGTCTCCTATCTAAGCTGGCTTCTCAATGAAAACTTTCTTAAGGTGAAGACATATAACATGCGACTCTCAGCCCCATCCCAGGATGCTTCTGTGTAAGCTTCATACTGTAATGGCAAGTTACTTGATAACATTTTAAACTTTCAGGGAATTCACTTCTGGGAAAAACAGCATGGAAGTGTTGTTCAATTTATTAACTTCACCAAACCATGAGTGGACAAGTTCAGATAAATTGCTTTCAACATATTAAAACCCCCTCTAATAAAACTAGTTATTAAGTGAAGTTTTCTCTCCTCTTTTTTCCTGCAAAACTGGTATAAATGGAGACGACGGCTCTGTTGTATTATGAAACAGCTAAGAGTGAATATTGTGTAATTGGCGATTACATCATACAAATTGCTTTTGTATTTTTGCACAAGCGTGTGTTCTATGTTAACTAATTATTGTTCCTTTGCCTCTAGGTACCTTCTGCAAGAGAAAAAGAAGGAAAAGCTCTGGATTCTGTTGCAAATTTTCACTACACAGTGAAGCCTTACGTCATTTAACTCAAGTTGGTTAACTTTTCCTCATATGGGCCTTTCTAGTTGTTGTTGTATAATATGATGGATTGGGTAAAACACATAAGATGCATATATCAATTATGTTCCTTCAATTATTGAGGTTAGATAACAATGTATAGCCGGCTGGCTATACTATTAAAATTTTAGAATATATAAAAATGTATAGCCGCTCGGCTATATTAAGTATAGCCGGTCGGCTATACTATTTAAATATTGTAATATAGTAGTAAAGTATAGCCGCCCGGCTAAACTATTAAAATATTCGAATGTATTTTTACAGTATAGCCGGCGGCTATACTATTTATATATTATATTTCTCTGCCTAAACCCAAACCAGCCAGCAACTGGAGAAAGGCAAGATGAATCAACACCTCCTACTAGTCAGGATCTACTAACCAATGCCATCGGGAAACCTTCTATCAAAAGTTCTGAACTAGCATCCGACTTTTGTCCAATTCCTCATCTGCAGAGGACATTCTTCCAAACAGGGTTTATCCCGCAGCCCAACTTGCTCTTATGTTATGTACTTGTCGGCTTAAATCGGGCTGAGCCCATTTCCTCCAACAGTTACCGCGCATTCGATTCCTTGTATTCTCTAACAGCTCCCTTCTACCCATGGATTTTTGTGGGAGCAGATGGCACAGCTTCTGTAAATGATGAACACATAAATCATCAAAAACATATGGAATGAAGCATTGCACTTCTGTTTTCGGGTTACTGTTCAAACAGAAACTGAACGGCAAATTGATAAACTTGGGCGCAAAGAGGAAAAAGCGACAAAGACGAGGAACAGAATGTGACACTGATAGTGAACTGGCTGCTGTAAATTTTTCTTCTTTACACTCTTGAATTTTAAATAGTATAGCCGAGCGGCTATACCTTTTAAATATTCGAATATATTTCAAACGTACAGCCGACGGCTATACTATTAAAATATTCGAATATATTAACAAAGTATAGCCGATCGGCTGTACTAGTAAAATATTCAATATAATTTTTTTTATGGTTTTTTGTTGGAGCAGATAGCACGGCTTATGTAAAAGATTTGTTCTCATTAACACGTAAATCATAAAAAACATATGAAATCAAGCATTGCCACGTTACACGTATTTTAAAGCCCATTAAGCTTGGGCGATTGACCAAGTATTATGCCTGGTACAGTATTGACATAAATCAGACTATCAGAACCATCACCAAGTTTCTTCAAGAAGGAGGGGCAAAAATATTCTCAGAATCATCAAATTTTCATTAACAAATAAATTAATAAGGACATAAACAAGATTAGGCATTGTCAATCATATCCTATGATGGAGAGAGTAATAGATCATTTCATTTGGGCAAATTTAAATCCCAAATCGCTCAGTAAGAAGAACAATGAATTGTTGATGCAATTATTTAATTTTGACAATGGTTAAATTCAAATTCAGTCAACCACTAAAAGAAATTGTTTTTGCCTTTTTATTTTGGGTTTGAAGCCCCCTTTGTATGACATTTGTGCAAAGCAGAAGTGGCATTACTGTTAATTACGGTTAAAGAATTGGGATATATCCCAAGTTTCCAGGAACAGCAAATCTAAAAAAACCTTTGCCACTGTGGCCACTTAGCATTCATGATGCTAAAAAGAACCTGCTACAGAAAGAGAACATAACAGAGTAGCTGGCTCGACTCTCTCTCTCAAACCAATAAAAAAAAAAGTATACTTTTGAACCGAGCAATCACGAGCCACCCCTGAAATCTCTGCCTTCGAATTCATCTTTCTACTGCTGAACGACCTAATCCTCCTTATCCTATCACAAACAAAACAACCGTGAAAATCTGCGTACCCCTTTCTCTCTTCATCTGCAAAATCTTCATTTTCAAGCATTCTCTCTTCTTTTGCTTCTAATCCTTGAAACCATGAAACCAAGTCATCTCCCTTTCCATGTGTTTCACTTTCATCACAAGCACAAGGTTTCGACTCATTCATTTTTCCTTTGATACACAACAATTGGCCTATCTTTTTCATGGAAATTAGTCTCTTGGTTATTCTATGTTTGTGTTTTTTCTCTGAGAAATTTGAAGCTTATTCCTTGATAACATCCCTGTTCCGTTACTTGATGAAAACCCACATATGTAATCCACTCTTCTTCGTGATCCATGTTTCGGAATCTGTTCATGCACTTCCTGAAATCAATTCACACGTTCAGAAGGAAAATACCTTTTGATTGTTTGACTTGCCATATTTCATATAATAATACTAATTTTCCTTAAAAGGGCTTATTGAACCACCTCAGTTAGAACCCCAATGGCGGCCTCATGTTTCCATGCACTTGGTCTTCGAAAGTCAAAGAGCAAGTCTTTACCAAACCCTTCCTCGTCGAGACCCCAGTTCAATTCTGACATGGACAGCATGGAGAGGAAGAGATTTGATAGTTTGGACTCATGGTCTATGATATTGGAGTCGGAAAATGTGGAAACTTGGGAGGTGTCAAAGGAGGACCAGGAGGAGTGGACTGCTGATCTTTCTCAGCTGTTTATTGGCAACAAGTTTGCGTCTGGAGCACATAGTCGGATTTATCGTGGAATCTACAAGCAGAGAGCTGTTGCTGTGAAAATGGTGAGAATTCCAACCCAGAGGGAGGAGACCAGAACCTTACTTGAGCAGCAATTTAAGTCTGAAGTTGCCCTGCTTTCACGTCTCTTTCATCCCAACATAGTGCAGGTAAGGTTTATGTTCCAACTCCCAAAACAAAAATTCATCTACTATTATTGGTAACATTAATTAAAGGTTTTCTTGCTTTCAAATGTTTAAAAAAGTTCATGGGATATAGTGTATTGGAGGATGCTAGTTAGTTAACAAAGTCCCTTGGCTCTGCTCTGTACTACTAGTATTATCTATAGATTACAATTATAAATCAGAACATGTTAGTAAAAGTATAGCTCTATCTGTTTTTCCACTCCAGATTAGCGGAAATCGGTATTGATCCTCCTCTGTCAAACTTGGTTTGGTTTGGTTGTCTAGATGATCAAATATAAGAAAGACATCCTAAGAAATTTTGAGCAAATTAAATTATCTAGACTTTGAGGTTGGCTACTGCCTCACTGTTAGGCTCTTAATATGTAAATCCCACCTCTTCTTTGGCCTTGCCTTTAATCTCCGAGATTATATGTTGGTTTTATCATGTTGGCATATAATATATATTAGCATTTTAACTGGTGGTCTACTTTTAGACCGGGTGTAATCCAATAATACTCTGCATCAACACTTGCTCATGTGATTATCGAATATCTTGTTGCTAAATTGGTAAACTCTTTTTGTTCACAGTTTATTGCAGCTTGTAAAAAGCCCCCTGTGTACTGTATCATCACGGAATATATGTCACAAGGAACGCTGAGGATGTATCTCAACAAGAAGGAGCCATACTCTCTTTCAACAGAAACAATACTGAGGTTAGCTCTTGACATATCCCGAGGAATGGAGTATCTTCATTCTCAAGGGGTGATCCACAGGGACCTCAAATCCAATAACTTGCTTCTTAATGATGAAATGAGGGTTAAGGTGGCAGATTTTGGTACATCGTGTCTTGAAACACAGTGCCGGGAAACCAAGGGAAACAAGGGAACTTACCGTTGGATGGCACCGGAGATGATCAAGGAGAAACCTTATACTCGGAAGGTTGATGTTTATAGTTTCGGGATTGTGTTATGGGAGCTGACAACAGCTTTGCTTCCCTTTCAAGGAATGACCCCTGTGCAGGCTGCATTTGCTGTGGCTGAAAAGGTGAGATGGTTATTCTCAAATTGCACATCCTTTCAATAGAGTCAAAAGATATTCCATACCATCTTTCTTGAAATATGCTTAGGTCTTACGCTTTTTTTCTCTGTCTAACTTGATATATACTATTTTTCAATTCTGGATTTCTCATAATTTGGATCCCAAATTGTCTAATGGACTAAAAACATTCTAGTGAAAAATGTATTTGCTTTGAATGAACAGGAATTGTTCATTAATTAAGATGTGGTTTTGGTTATATATATGCTGCAATGCAAGCTGCTACATCAGTCTACATCTATGTAGGGGCTTCCAAAGCTCTTATAGAATAAGATTCCTATTTACAGTTGTTACAAGTGCGTAATCAATCTTTTGTTTGCTGCTACACGTGGAAAAAAAATAATTTGCTGAAATTGGAGGAAATAAGCATCATTTTATTTTGATGCGGCAGAATGAACGCCCTCCAATGCCGGCTAGTTGTCAACCGGCGCTTGCACACCTGATCAAGCGCTGTTGGGCAGCAAACCCTTCAAAGCGGCCGGATTTTAGTGACATTGTGTCTGCTTTGGAGAAGTATGATGAGTGTGTGAAGGAGGGCCTTCCTCTGACGCACCATTCCGGGCTGGTGAGCAGAAATGTTATTGAACGCTTGAAAGGCTGTGTATCCATGAGCTCCTCTTCTGTACCTGTACAAGCCTAAGTCCACATTATAAGGTATTGCTGTTGTTATTTCCATCATAAAAGGCTGTCAAATGAGTCAATGAATGAGTCCATTGTAATTTTAACATGATGTTCTTTTAATTATCTTATGTAACTGTATGTGAGGAATGTAAAAACTTCGATGTGAATGTTCAGATATAGAATTCTGAGTACTAAAGAAAAAGAAAAAAAGAAGAGATTAGATTTGTTCTTTGTCCAACGTCGTTCAAATCAAAGCAACCAGATATAGAATTCCAATCACAAAAGTGAAATAGAATTCGAAATTCATTTGACAAACCATGAATGAAATGATTGATATATTGGTGAATAATAGAAAAATCTTACACGCGTGGCTCATGAGTCATGTGTTTAAGAAAAGAAAAGCATTTTGCTTTTTAATCTCGCATATATAATGAATTCCAATGGGTTTTTTGTTTTCTTACTTGGGGAAAAAGCATTTCAATTTGATACTGTGGACCAAAAAAGAAAGAATCTGCTTTTTGGCATTGACTAATTCATGCATGCATTATGCATATGCTGCATGCAAGCGTTTTGTTTGGGTTTAATTAAGTCTTAATAAGACTTTTGTGAAAGCTACAAACGAAATCAACGCTCGGTAAAACACGTCAGGTTGATATATATATATATATGTGACGAGTGGAGAAAAGCTCAGTTGCTATCTGCATCACAAACATAACGTGAACTTTAAAAAGTTTGCAACAAAAGCCAAGAGATGTTGTTCATTCTGAATTGTGGATGAGCATGAGCCTCTGCCTGCTCTTGCAGGTTTTATTTGAGGACTTCATCTAAATGTTAAAAGTTGTTGACCTTGACCCATTCAAAAATCCAAATCCAACTCTTATTATCTGCATTATCATCATAAGTGGTCTGAAGAATTTTGGATGGCTCACCAAGAAACAAATACATTAAATCATTTAGCCAAATGAAACGCGTGAAAACAAAGCTAAAAAACGACACCAAGTGAAGTGAGCATCCGAATCTTTACATAAATTAGATGAATTTAAAACATCGCTTATACATAATAATAATAATAATAATAATGCAACTTTATTTTAGGGACCTATAATTTGCAACTTTATTGTTTTGTTTATAAATCCTTGAAGCATTATTCATTTCAAGAGTAAACTCAACTCACACCATCTTGAACTAAAGTTTGTTAACCACCTAATGGAAAACATGCATGGATGGGTTTAGTTTTACGATAAATCTAGACCGTCAAAATAACGCAGGAATCAGGCACATCCGAGGTTTTCCATGCTACGTGTACGGTGATGATACGTAGGTGCATGTTAAGCTATATGGTCGGGGAATATGTGCTGGAGGCACCGAGAGTTGGGCTAATTGTCCCCTTCTTTCGGTTCGGTATTTATTTATTGGCCCCAAACCAACCCAAGTTGTGCATTCCAAAGATACTCTCTCACTCATTTATTTTACCAAATTTTATTAGTTATTAAAAAAAAAACAATCAGGGTGCAAAATTTCAGAGAATATTTATTATTACAATATTCTGTTTCCTTTTTTAAAATTACCCAAATGCCCTTTTAATTTCGATTCGATCAACTGAATAATGCACTTTTCTCAAGGAAATGTCAAAGATGGATATGTTTCTCACTTAATGGAGAAGGCATGTAGTGCACATATATGCTTACAAGTGTCCCATTGTTGGTAATTAGGTGCAACTGTGCAAGGTTAATTAGAGTTAACAAAGTGAGTTTCTTCTTTAATTATGTTGTTAAAAAGTACACTTCCACTTAGAATATTTATACTAGAGTTACCAATAGTCCTTATCATCTATCTTTTCATTTTTGTCATAATTGTTTGTTTAAAGTACGTATGTGATTTCTTTCTTTTTGATAAGTGAGATTTAGTATAAAACTAAACACAAAAGTGTGGATGACCTTTTTCTTTCGGTTTGGTAAACTGCAATTCTCCCTCACCTTTTTCCTCATCGTTTTAAGTGATTCCTCAAAAGGAAGCCGATTTACTCTCAATCAATAGAAAGACCACCCATTTTCCTTTCCCTATTTATAATCATTAAGCATCGATCGATTCAGTGCATAATAGCCTTGTAAAGAAGTAGTTCATCATCAAAAGTATTGAGCTAGCATTACACCACCATATAAACTATAATCAGGTATTGCTTTAGCAACTTGAGTACAAACAATATAGGCAATAAATTTAGGGTTGATGTTGGAAAAGGGGTAAATTCGTCCACAAAAGGTGATGTTATATATTAAATTAATCAATTATGGAAGGAATAAATGGGCTTGGGGAACAACGAAAAGAAGGTGAGGGTTGGACTGGAGTTTATAGTGGGGAACTCTTTTGGCTCCTTTGCTTTAATCGAAGCCTAACTTTTTTGTGTTCGCCTAGTGCAGTGCGACACCTACCTCTGCGACTGTGCGAGACACCTACCTCTGCGACTGTGCGAGACACCTACCTCTTCTCATCGCAAGTAGTTACGAGATTATGTGTTGGAAGGAATCAAAATTTGTGTATAATAATAAACCGGTAAAGTGATAGTTTCCAACATTATGTTGATGCCAAAATATGGGAAGCCAAGGCATTTGGAGATTTGGCAAAGATATGCTTTGACAAACGACGGGTCGTTCAACATTTTTGCAAGCAAAGAGGAAAGAGTCAAAATAAGGAAAGAAGCCACCCCGTGCCGTGCTCTCATTCCAAAAACCTTTCAGGCAGGAGCTGATGAAAATAATAGATTTTTGCATGCACCATCAAAATAAAAAACACTCGGAGTCAGAGTCACAGTTGTTGCAAACTAATTTGTGATGACTCAAAGGTCAAAATTAAAATTACCCATTTTTGTTTACATGTACTTGAAAGGGTAATTTACGGCCAAAAAACAAAACAAAAGAAAAGACACATCATGAAGATATGGAGATGAAGATTAAGAAGAAGATGGAATTAACTAAACCCACCTCATAATTAAGTAATATTATAACTTAATTATTGCTTGATGTGGTCTTTGAGATTAGGGAAAACTTATTGGCTCCACACACCCCATATCCTCTCTCCAACAAAGCTCACAAACCTTCTCACTGAACCCTTCTCTGAGTCTTCTTCATCAACCTCTCCACCACCACCACCAGTCTCTTGATCCGCCATGTGAGCCTGAGCCAGCTCCTTCTTCTTCAAACTCAACTCGGACCGCTTCAGCTCACCCGATGACCCACCATTATGACCCCTCTTGTTCCTCCTTTCCTTCCTACTGATATTATTATTATACTTTGAGTTTGCCTGCCCTTTACTCTCAGCCAACACCCCATCTTCAAAAGCATCGATGATCTCGTGGATCAGTTGCCGATTTGGCGACTCATCCCATCTGACCCAGTAACTCTTGTAGCACCTGAAGCAGTCGCAGTTAAACCGCGCCGGGTGGTCACCGCCGCTCCCACTGCCTTTTGCGGCGCCCTTTTTGGCGGCAGAGGCTGCGGTGGACTTACGAGAACCGTACGATGATGATGACGAGGAGGAGGATGATAAGTTGATGGAGCTGTTGGAGCAGGAGATGAGGTAAGCCAAGACCTCTCTGTCCTCGGGCGACAGAGCCGCCGCGAGGGTGAGGATGGTGGCGGGAAGGAAGGCCAGTTGGTCTGATATGATTGGCGGTGAAGGATGAACCGTGCCTTTCCGGTAGAGCTTCTTCATGGTTGTTGTCTATTGGTGAATCAAAGACTTACAGTTGATGACGATGAGGTTCAGAGAGAGAAGACAGAGGGAGAGGTTTTGGCCTTTGAAGGGTTGCTGAGGTTTTATTCATCAGAGAGAGAGACGCATTGGAGTTGGTGTTGGGGTGATGTATGAAATTACGAAAGTTGGGTTCTGATTGGGGGCAATGTTCACGTGCAACGCAGGACTACTTACTATCTGTACATGCAGTGTCTCAGAGTGCGTGGATAGGATTACTTGGACGGTTGTGATGTTGTGGGACCAGCTTACCTTTGATTAGTCTCTCTCGGTCTCCTCTGTGTAAGTAAGTAAGTAGCGGTTGGTGGGGGCTTTGAGCTCGGCCTTATCTGTGGTGCTACAGCCCAGGGGGATGAGCCTGGACCTCTTGTTTTTTTTTTTAATAATAATAATTTTTTTTAAATGAAATTTTATTTATTTAATCCTTGTTTTATTTACAGTTGAACCTGACCCTGAACAAAGCTGTACGAGGTAATAGTTTATTTAAATACAAATGCTTTCAATGAATTCTAAGGCTTTGTTAACTAAACTGGATTAATCAATCAAGCAATAAGATACTTTATTTTTTTATAAAAAGATAATGCCATTTTGACTGTGTCAAAACGAGTTTAATAGATTGCAATTTGCAAGTAGAGTGTCAAATTTCTGATATGATGTGTAAATTGTAATGGCGTGCATTTTGCTCTACATTTTGTTGACTTGGAATGGAAACTAACTCATGTCTCACTCACATCACACTCTCTGTGTTTAGAAATCTCAAATGGGCAGCATATGATCAGCCAACATCGTATATCCAAAGTTTTTGAACTTGACACATCATATCAAAATGTAGAGCAAAATGCACGCCATTACAATTTACACATCATATCAGAAATCGTCAAAGGAATTTACATGCAAATTCCGAAGATTGCAATAACAATGATAAATAGAGCAAGTCAAGGTCTGCGCTAGCCATGAACAACTTCTTATTATGGCATTCCAGTTTCCCCCCGATCAGATTCAAGACAATGCAAATTTGACATAAGGGCAAAAGGTAAAATATGAGTCAGATAAAAATGGGAATTTTGAATTCTCACATTTATAATGATCAAACACCAAGGACCTATGGCTATAATTATAAAAGCGAAAACCTTCAAGAAGAACTTGGTAGACGAGCTTTAATCCATGATTCCAGGTGCTTGAGCTCCTCATTGCTTATTGAATGGCCAAGACCAGGATAAGCCTGCAATTTACAACCAGTCAAATTTTCGGAGTTGCATACAAGTGAAGTGTGCATTTAAGAAGTCTTGTGTTGCTTTGCATAAAATACCTTAAACTCACAGTTTACACCAGCTCGTTCGAGGAAAGGGGGACCTGCTTGTCCAGCTTCAAGAAATACTGTTCTGTCTGCGATCCCATGAGACCACAAAATAGGTGTCTGCACATGTAGTAATGATATTTAGGTAATCAGATGGCTGTATCACGCGACAATTCACAAGAAAGCACCAGTTCATTTCAATCACATTTAACATTGAGACCACAATAGTTTTTCTCTTAGATTAATAGGAGAGAGGACGCCATATAATAGGAACTCACAGACATTTGATTTCATTAGACAGAAATCTTACAAATGGGACAAAGTCCATGACGATGACAATGATGAAATCTATTACCAGATATGATGGTATCACTATAATAGATGGACAAGCACAGTTTGATTTTGAATTCTCCCAATGACAAGTGATAAATTATTGATGCACAACACAATAACAGAAACTAATCCTGATTGAAAACAAAAGAGATTGCTGCATGGCACTATGTTAGTGAGACGTCATAGATTTCTGAAACGTACCCTCTTTGCTTCTGGTGGGATTTGTTCTATTATGGATGAACTAAAAGGAACCCATCCACTAAACACTGCAGCTCCTCCAAGAGTTTTAGGATATAGCAGAACACTTGCCAATGTCAAGGCACCTGGTAAAAAGGTTGTACTTGCAAGTCAGTAGCAACAAAGAAATCAATTGTGCAAGTGTTTCTACCCGTGTATATGTAAGTGCATAGAGAAAGAGACAGACCCCCTTGGCTGAATCCACACACAAAGACATTACTAGGATTTGTGCCAGCATCTATCTCCTTGTCTATCATCTTATGCACACTCTTAACTGCTTTGAGCAGGTCACTTTCATTGTTTGGAGAATTCTGAAACATGTAACAGTATGGTCTTCAATAAACAACAAAGTATACAAGCAATTTCATGAGAACGGGTTCAAGTGGTAGAGGGTGTCAGACCCCCTTTTCATTTGAATTCATAACATGAATGCAAAACAGAAAGATTTAAGCAGGAGAAAAAAAATAAATTATATTTTGAGAGGCCAATGGCCTTTTCGACAGCTCCTCTGGCCTTAAGAATACGGGTGGAAGGGTGAGATCAGGGGCTTAATATTATCTGGGCATGAGTCTACTGCAAATTATCAAGCATATTTAAATAAATAAAGGGAAGAAACAGAATCATAACTTACAGCTGTTACAGGAATCTCGCCAATGTCAAACCATGAAGGCATCCTAGCACCATCTACAAGAACAAAGTTATGCCTTAGATCAGTATACTGAATAGCTCTAGATCAAGTTATGCTCTTTCTATGTATTTATCAGCACAAAGGCATCTTTCACTCACAAAAAAAAAAAAAAGAGATTCCTGCACTTTCAACAATGACCGCAGTCTCCACTTTAATTTGAGACCCCAATTCTAAAAGCAATAAAAGTTACGTATTGAAAATCAAGATTGAATGCATCATAGACTCATAATGCGTTTGATAACAAGGGACTACCTAGCGTGCTGCGTGAGGTTTTCTTTAAAGTCAGGAAAAAAAAGGAGACCCGCCCAGGCCGCCTAGGCGGAATTTTCGAACTTCATGTAATTCAAGAGCTATCTATAACAATCCTTCAAAACGCAACTAATAGCAACGGTAATTAAATTCTCCAGAAGAGCATAACCCTCAATTACATAAACATACAAAAGTAATATCATAAAAAAAAAAAAAAAAAAAAGCTAATTCAAAATTACATATAAAATTACAAGTATCCGGAAATTATGACTGTAAATGTAAACTTACAATTGCATGTCACTGGGTTTGATGGAGCAGATGGGAAGGACCATATAGTGTTCCTAAACTCAGGCGAAGTGAAGAGGGTCTTGATGGGCTCGTTGGCTGGGCCTGAGTCACCCAACCCATGAAGCCACAGAACAAAGCTTCGAGCCATTGACGCTGGTCTTGGAGATTGATTTTGCCAGGAGAGTAGCAGCAAGAAGATGGTGCTGCTTACGGTGACCAAAAGCACAGCAATTGGCTTTGCTAAAAGCCAAAGATTCATGCTTGATCATCAACCATGGGGCTTAGCTTTCGCAAATTTGGGGAGATGGATGTGAAATTACCAGAATTACCCCTGTCTCTTTGGGGCCTGTCTCGGCACCTAACCCCGCTCCAGTCCAACAAAAATGTCTTGAAAAAAGGGAATTTTATTATTTCCCACCAAAAAAAATTATTTTCCTTTAATTGCATACGTGGCATAATTCTATTGGTCTACAGATCAACACGGTCGAGCAGATATTATTGATCTCTCTCTGACTTGAGCGCGCTACAGAGCTAGAGAGAGAATATTAATGGCGGCTTCGAAGCTCCAAGCGCTGTGGAATCACCCGGCCGGCCCTAAAACCAGTGAGTCACAGTCACTCCAATCTCACGCCTGAATCATCCTTTTCTCTAATTATTTTTATCCGAATTTCAATTTTAAAATTTTTATTTTCTGTTTTGCGCGATTTAGATCTTTTTCTTTGGATAGAGTTAACCCGTCCCTAAAATGAATCATACCGTTAACTATCTTCTGGTGAAGAGACCCAATTGAGACTTCTCCTAGAAATTAGAAGTAGGAGGACTAGTTGTTTCTTCCCTGCAAATTTTGTTCATTCATTGATTGATTTTTTTAAAAACTAAAGTGCGTTGACGTTGTCAACAAATTTCTGTAGTGCATTGCATTAAAAAAGAAAATTACTAATGGAAATGATCTTAAAGGAGAACTGAGAGTTGGATTTCTGAGCTAACTTCACTTGGTTAGATGGCTTTCACAGGTTTAGAATAACCATTTGTTTTGTTTGCATAATTTTTTTTTTTTGGTGGTCGTGTGGAAGTTTGGAACAAAGCATTGTTTGGAACAGAGCTTTGGTTGAAACCAAGTTGGCTGCTAATATATTGATAATTGGGAAAAACTCTGCTACCCTTTGGAGACCACCTAAAACCAATCTATATAAACTCTGCTATATTGATAATTATAATGCTATTTTTTTACGGATAGTGATTTGTATTAATTAATTACTCTGTTATTGCATTGCAGTTCACTTTTGGGCACCCACATTTAAATGGGGCATCAGCATAGCTAATGTTGCTGACTTCGCTAAACCACCTGAAAATCTTTCATATCCTCAGCAACTAGGTTTGTTTGATGTTGTATACAAGTACTACTGTAAATTTGGAGTCATTTTTCTTGTACGACAAGCGCTTTAAGATACACATTGAGTCACCTCAATGTTGTATTCTTCTCACTTTTCTTTTTCTTTGTCTCTTTCAATATTGTTACACAGCGGTTGCATGCACTGGAGTTGTCTGGTCACGCTATAGCACTGTCATCACTCCGGTAAGCGCAACTGTTGATATAATATTCCTGCCTCTAGCAGATCACAAGATTGATGATAATAACTCTGATCCAGAGAGTGTCAAACAGCCACTTCTGTTTGAAGTTTACTTAACACCAACTTTTATTGAATAGTTTATAAAATGAATACATATACAGGTTGTGCTTTTGCTTCAAATTGTAAATTTTGTTGATCATGTGAACTTGGAACGTATCTTATGTAGATTTGGTGTGTAGTGTACAATCTATGATGTAATTAGGTTTGCTTGAAATGATTGATGTGCTAAATTGTAGTTGTGATCACAAGTTCAATCCAAACTTTTTACTTTCCAAAGGAAGATTGGTTCGAAAATTTTATTTCAGGTTTATGTTTGTCAACTTTGGAGTTTTCTTAAATGATTAGAAAGACCTGCTTTCGGTAAACTTGTGAGCCCCATGATAAAGTAATGGTGGCATGCCTCTGGATCCCTCCAAAACCTTAAACACATAAGATAATAGTCAAAATAGTCATACATGTTCTTTGATGTGGAAATAGAACAGAAAAAAGGGACCTGGTTGCAGGTAAAAGGAGTAAAAGTGCTTGTGTTAAGGATAAGTCTTTTGGTTCTCTTCTTGATTCTGTTATTGGAGCTTTCCTGGATGGATTTTCTGCTGGATTTTAAGTTTTGGTTTCTGTAATTTATAATTGCAGAAGAACTGGAATCTTTTTAGTGTGAATGTAGCAATGGCAGGGACAGGCCTCTACCAACTTTCTCGTAAAATACGGTAAGTTCAATTTGATGTTATTTGTTTTGATGTGGAATTTTGGTGATTATTCAAGGATAGGATCTTATCAAATGATTCAGTAAACAGTGCTTGTTATCAATGGTTTAATTGGAATTAACCAAAATGTTTTTATGAGTTTGTTCCATCATAACCTGAACATCTCTACGATTCTCATGGGTGCAAAGGCTCATGTTGCCTATTTCCCTTCCGTTGTTTTGAATTCAATTTGGTACCCCTGATTTACGGTTGCCTTCTTGGAGATCTTTGGATAGTCAGATGTGGTACGGGTATTTGTACTTCTCTGTTGTTTGTCATTTTGCAACTGAAAGTTAGTGGATAGTTGAACACCAAAAGTCCCTAATTTACCAATAATCTCTGTTCTCCAAAACTCTCTCTTCTTTTTGGGGTCCGAACTCCTTTCATTTGCTCTACATTTTTGTAGCTCTGCGCAGTTCATATTCCCTTCCCCCATTTCCCCAGGTTCTTTTGGTCAATCCAAAATATTGGCGTTGTCGCAATGAGAATTGGGTTTTGCTTCTTTATTAGAACCCTAAAAAAAAAAAACTTGAAAGCATGATTAACCCGCTGACCAGCTTAAATTAACTCCAAACTTCGGAATCGTATTTTTTTTATTTGGTCGAAAGTCCCAGTAAGGTAGGTAAAGAAATATATGCAGCAGCCGTACGGCTATAGCATACCCGAATATAACGTATAGCCGGCGGCTGTACTACTTAAAGAAAGGAATATATTTCCAACGTCTAGCCGTACGGCTATACTATTTAAATATCCAAATATATTTCAAGAGTACAGCCGGGCGGCTATACAGTCAAAATATCCTAATATATTTAGCATATAGCCGCCGGCTGTACTAATTAAATATTCGAATATAGTTCCACGGTATAGCCGTACGGCTATACTATTTAAATATCCAAATACATTTCGAGCGTACCGCCGCGCGGCTATACGGTTAAAAATCCTAATAATACCGTATAGCCGTGCGGCTGTACGATTTAAATATTCGAATATATTTCCAGAGTATAGCCGAACGGCTAGACTATTTAAATATTCAAATATATTTCAAGAGGACAGCCGAGCGGCCATACTGTTAAAATATCCTAATATATTTTGCGTATAGGGGCGCGGCTGTACGAGTTAAATATTCGAATATATTTCCAGAATATAGCCGAACGGCGATACTATTATCCAAATATATTCCAAGAGGACAGCCGAGCGGCTATACGGATAAAATATCCTAATATATTTATTATATAGCCGCCCGGCGGTATTTCTCTGTTCACCTTCGTCAAGATGTTGGAGTAGATCGGGTTGCCCGCAAAGCCATCACTGAGAGGGAATACTTGGGTGGTTGACGCCTCACACTGTCAGGGATGTACTTCTCAGTTCACCTTCATCAATCGCAAGGTTCATTTTTTATGCTTCCGTCCATCTCCGATCCAATGACCCATATATGAGTTCTTGACAAGTTCTTTTGTTTATTCATTACCCATGCCTCAAAATTTGAGTTTTTTTTATGAAGTTTATATGTGAACTCAACCGTGATTTCGATACTGCACTTCGTGGCTTTCCATTTTGAACCTTGTGGACACCGTCGTAGATTGTTTGTTTTGTACAGGCCCATGATTATTTCGTTTAAGAATGTACTGGGGATTTATAGTTTGTGTTGTGCGAAGAAATGTGTTCTAATTATATAAAGGACTTGTTTTCCAACTTAAGCTTATTTGCAGGTTATTCTAGGATTGAATGTGATATTTCTTTCTAGTCTCTGGGTCTTTTTCTGATTCTTGATTATATGCAATGTGGAATTTCAGCATCATTGCCGGAGGTGTGGGGGCTTGTTTTGCAACAGCTGCACCCAGCAAAAAATGTTTTTACGCGGGCAAGGTGATTCGCCTGTGCACATTTGTGAGCCTTGTGAAAAGCTAGAAGAAGCAGTACGCTTTGAGAGACATGAGCACAAGACTAGAGCTGGGAGAGGTGCCATCTTGATTCCTTCTAAGGTTGTTAGTTCATTTGTTGTTGTGTTGAACATTTGTCGGTTCTGTCACCAGTTTTGCTAGTTTTGTGATTCTGCCACATGCTTTTTTGCTGAATTATGGTATAGACAGATTTTGTTGCACTTGCATCATTTTAATGGCAGACAGAAAAAGATTGAATTACTCTACCCTTTGATGGTTCCTTCTGTATCAAACCTCTGGGAATGGTACTAACATGTAGTAATAATAAGACCTAGTCTTTTTCTTGTTGACCTTCATTTCATTAAGTAAAAAGTATCAAAATATAGAGTCAAGATAGATCACTATCTATCACATACCCCTAATTTCGCATTTTAGCTAATCCTTACGTTACGTCTCCTGCTTGTCTATGTGAAACAATCTAACTTTCTGTGCAGGCAGTTTGAAGTTGACATCAAAGCCTGAGGATGAAGTTCTGAACCAAATTCTTGGTAAGGATAGGAAGGAGTCAGAACAAGAGTCTAACGGTAATGTGGTTGCTAGTATGCAGCATTAAGAGCATGGGGTGGGAGAAATACATAGAAGTCTTTCTGTTGATGAGCCTAATCATTTACAGAGTGGTGATGGATCTGCTTCTCCTGAGGAGTTGCGTCAGCAAGCTTTGGATGAGAAGAAGTATAAAATTCTGAAGGGAGTAGGAAGGTCTGCGGAAGCATTAAGAGCATGTAAGAGAGGGAAGGAGCTTGAGAGGCTGGCCGTATAGAAGAGCATGCCACTGAAATTGCATCAAAGTTAAACTGGTGGTACATCTCTGTTAACATGCCAACTATTATAATTAGCATAATCACGCATGAAACGACATAGCAAGACATTTCAACTGGTGTAATCAAGGAACTAAAGCATTGTAAGACTAAACTTTACCATAGTTCTTGTTTAATAAATCAAAAGTTTAAAATCCCACTACAATTTCCAAGTACAACATCTCCTGTCTCAGAAGTAAACAAAAATGGCCGCGGAAAAAAATTCAATCATTTCAATGTTGAAAGTATAAGTTTGCATCTTATACCAAAT